GTAACGAAATGAAATTCTAGGAACAATCATCGTCCTTCGTGCACGTAGGTGAACAATTATGTCGAATGACCTTTTTGTTCCAGTGACGATTCACGGTGGCGTTCAATCGTGTGATTATTACGACAGCTAAGTTTTACCAATTGAATGGTCGATAAATGTTTCTCGTAATCATTTTTTCTCCCCCGTAGAGGAAAATATTACGGCCTATTACTGTCATAAGGTTTTCCGCCATTTTGTTTCTCCGCATCTTTCCATCGCGCAGTGCGGTGTTTTATAAATCTAGCCAAACTAATTGTCTTTTTTTTGCACACAAAATTTTTATATTTTCGTCAACATTGTTATTTCTTGATCATTATTTAAACATATTTAAATGTCTATAATGTAATAACAATTTACATTATTTTGTTCGGGAAAGTCCAGAGAATTACTTTGTGTCCAAAACAATTGAATGACTGTTACTGTAAAATCACAAAACATCTCTAAAGTTAAAATTTTACAATTTTAAACAAAAATTATTTTTTAAATTTATGTTCTGGGAAAAATTGTTTACAGATTCGTATTCGTGTTATGAAAATCTATAAAAGACACCTAAGGTTGCAAAATTTTATACGTGTTGAACAGTGTTATACTAATAATGTTTTGTCCGAATTAACAATTTGTTTTCAACGGGAGACAGTCAAAGGTAAATAATTTCAACAAATATTATTAAGGTATCAAATTAACATTAAATACACACAATATGAAAGAGATGATATTTAATGATTTTTTTACGCCTTCTTGAAGTTTAGTAATTTGTTTTCTTACCTTTAACACTTCAGAAAATAATATATTTAAACAAAATAATCTTATTATAAACCTTCAGCTAGTAGCTATAAATCATAACAAAATAAAAAATAAACTTAACATGCGCTCAAAATTTGCGATTCATTTTATAATTGTTGGCGTGCGTACTATTGTATTTTTATTCTTATGTAAAAGTTCATTTCTATAATTCTGGACTCTCTAAGATTGGATGTAAACAAAAAAATATATACATAGGTATATCAACTTGTTACAACAAAAAACCACACTTCGCGTCGCAATATTAATTTTTCAAAGTAGTTATTCATGCTTATCATTAGTAGTTATTTTGCTCATCATTGACATGAAATTTTCGATAGAAAAGAACCCTTACTCTTCGACCAAAAATATTCACTGTAAAAGTATTACACGAAATACAATATTATAATTAACCTAGCGAACGCACTCTGTCCGAATTGAGAAGGTTGTAATGTGTATTAAAAGGAGTATTTTCTTAATTTTATTTTTTTAATTTTCTTTTAAAATATCTCGTTACAATGCTTCGTTAGTAATTGCAAAAAATCGGATTTTATTTAAAAAAAAAATGTTTGTATTCTGTTCGAAGAAATTCACCGTTCGACGTTTCAATAGAAGAAAATGTTGTTTTTTTATTTTAGAGACTATGAACACGTAAATGCAGGGACTTCCATCGAAACATAAAATACCGGTGTTATACAGGTATTTTCGGTTGTACCTTGGGCCTATATAACCCTATATAAGCCCTACTCTATAGAAACCGAAAAAATACTGGTATTTATTTCCGTGTTCGATAATATATCAATTTCGGTATAGCTTTGATGGCATAATACAGTAATGTTTCGATGAGTGCGACATACTCGGGTCCGCTTCGGAGCATTCATGGCAAGGTAAAAAAGCTTTCAGCCCCTCATAAATTTGATTTTTGCGCGAAGTGGAGCCTCTGCTTAATTTCTGTTTATCCTATTTTAATTGATTCCACAAGGGGAGCCCACCAGTGGTGGGAAAAACGCGGTTGTTCGTGTCGCATTCATCGAGGAATCACTGCACCGGTATCAAAATCTTAACGGTTGAAGCCTCTGCGTAAATGTCTAGAAAGTGATGGGGAATATTTTCAAGACTAGACTGTATTTTGATTATTTTCTTTTGTAAATAAACAATAGGGGAAGGAACGATTGTCAGACGAAGAAATTCACGGAAGCGACAAAATGACCGCGATCGAAGCGGTAAACGGGGAGCATTAAAATTCCAGTGTCAACTTCGAACTGCAGAGACGACCTTTACTACGTCAATTTGTCCAGTAAGTATTATCCTGCATAAAAACACACTTGGGTGTGACAGTAGTGCACCATTTTTCCGTGAATTATAACTGCGTTCGCGCCATCCACCAAGGACGCACCCTGTGAACCTGGTTCGAATCGTACGGAACAACGGTATCGCCGCAAACAATGATTTATTCAGATGTTATTAAAGATACAATACAGTCCAAGCACTCCGTAGACATACACTATCGGACAAAAGTATGGGTACACCCTTTAAAACGGAACGACTGTTTTAAAATTGGCCCAAATGACTTGAGTTCTTTTGTGAAGTTGGGCACATTAGTTTACTAAATGATGTGTGAACAAAAATTGAAAAAATTTGCGAATTCAAAACAGTAGTCTGAAAAGCGATTTGTTGTGGCCAAAATTAAAAACACTTTCATATCGATTTTTTTTCAACGAAAATATGTTTTATGTACCTAATGTAGCTAAAGTACGATAAGCAACATAAAAAAATAACAATATACATATTTACAGTACCGGACAAAAGTATTCGTACACCCTTTAAAACGGAACACTTTTTTTTAAATTGGTCCAAATGACTTGAGTTCTTTTGTGAAGTTGGGCACATTAGTTTACTAAATGATGTGTGAACAAAAATTGAGAAAGTTGCAATTGGTCGGAATCGCGAAGAAAATAGTAAAGGTCGTTTTTTACAACTTTTTAATCTGAGATTATAATGAAAATTTAATAAATACATATCGAAGATCTATGTTAGTTACATACATACATGTTGAAAATTTCATGAAAATCGGTTAACGTTGTTACGAGGTAGACGATTAAAAATGTTGAAAATCACAATTCTCCTGCTTTTTATGGACGGGAGTGTACGTACCATATGCATGTCTTGTTACTAGAAAGAATACATAACGCGCGACGTCCTCTTGTTAAGCGGAAACGGTTTACCGATTCGTGAAACAGACAGTCATTTGACGTTGGCCGAAGAAATTATTACTTTGGGAATATAAGGGAACATTATTTTGCGGTTTTAGATGAAAGAATAATAAAGGTGTAATATGGTAGAACTAAATAAAAAGAAAAAGAAGGAAAGTAGAAACTTCCAATACGTGAATGACCAAGACAGTGGTCTGATAGTTAACCTATGGGCAATAGAGTGACGATTAATCGAAGATCTATCTTATTGTACACAGTTTAGCCAAAAAACAATGACGAAGCTCTTCAACATAAAAAAATATTAAAAATAGTTTTCTTTGAAGGTGATATACTGTTCACCATATTTATATAATCTATGGAAATGGCCCTGGCGATTTTGCTGCAAGATGGCGGAAAGAACGACGATTGAATCTTCTGGCCCGACGAGTCATGAATTTAAACAACATTTTGATCTGAAAAGATGTCTTACAGTTTCATTGTCCATCGTATTCGTCGATAATTCAATTACATACGTCAAACTACAATTCCAATTATCGTCATTGGAAACGAAGAATAAAGAAACACCCTAAAATCATTTTGATATTCTTACAGGTATAATTATCATGAACAATATACAGGATGAGTCAATAAGAAATACTATCTAAAATATCCCGTTACCTATTAGTTGTATCGAAAACTGTTTTAATGCATTATATATCATTTTAAGGGACGTATCGGATGGATATAATTTGATTTCATTATAACATCTTTTTCTTAGACATCATGATCTTGAGAATTTTCAAGGTCGATGCATCTTTTTTTTAATACTATCATGCTATAGGTCGTTGAATTTGTCTTTCTATTTTCAACGAAGTGATATTAAAAAAAAGATATATTGATTTTGAAAAACTTTAAGGTCACATTGATATTTCAAAAAAATAAAATTGTATCCGCTCGATGCATTCCTTAAAATAATACATAATTTATTAAAACGTTTTTTGATACACCCAATAGGTAGCGAGTTATTTTAGATAGTAGTTTTTATTGACTTACCTTGTATGTACATCACTTGAGAAAGAGAACTACGTCCAATAATTGCTAATAAAAAGCGTGAATATCAGAAAAAGGTTGAACTGAATGATAACACATTCCCGACGAGAAACGAGAATTCTTGTTTTGCGACAAGTGTACGTTTTGTTGATGATTTCATAGATAGCGGAATTAATATATGACAATAGTACATTATTAAATTCGTTATAGAGTATATTTGCATTACACATCAGTGTTTTGCGAACAATTAAATACGTCGTACTGGTCCATTTTTCAGCTTTTATTTGCGTTATAAATTTTTCTATAAGGAGTACAGAAGAATCGTACTAAAAATTATCGTACTAAAAAACAATACTAACACTACTTATGTACAACTCCTGAAATTTTCAATAAAATATATTAAATATAAAAATCATTATCGCAGTTTCAATACACACACGTTGAAATATTTTGATATTAAAATCCCCCGTTTTATAGGAAACTTCTAACAAAACTTACCCGTCGCGAATGTGTTAATGTCGCATAAATTTCAATAACTTCCGAAACCAAATGGTAGGAGGACCTTTCCCTAAGCGAGGGTACATCGACGTGGAAGCTCTGCTTCCCTAGGGAAAACAGTGCTGTAAGGAAAGAACCTCCTACCACTTTGTTTCGGAGTTACTGAAATTTCTGTCAAATTAACATTTCTTTTAATATTTCAGATCAATTTATCAACCGACACCCAGGTAGCACATAGCGTCTAATGACGCCTTGAAAACGGCTTAAAGACGCCTTAGACCTAAAACAGCCGTAAAATGGGCGTCATTAAGGCGTCATGTGCTATCTACATAGGATGCCCTTATCCCTACACTATTTTTCCCCCTAAAAAAAGTCGAGTTTGCACGGCGAGTGTACTATGGTATTATACAAAAGGGAAGCTGAAACGGTAGATCTGGATCGTCACCATTTGAACCAACCGTGTGACTTATGAGCGTGGACCGCGACTGGCACCGGATACGGTTTCGGCACGTGATATGGAACGGCCACGTGAACGGGATACGGTCGATCCACGTGGACAAGCTTCTCGTAGGGGACTGGGTAGGGTTTTGGTATCGGGACCGGAACGGCAACCGGTCGATCGACAGGAACGTGAACAGGTCTGTCGACTGGGACCGGTACAGGTCTGTCCACGTGGACCAGTTTCTCGACGTGTACGGGATACGGTTTCGGTACCGGGACAGCGACCGGAACGAGACGATCCACCGGGACCGGTACCGCCACGTGCTTGGTCACCGGAATCCCGACCGGAACCGGATGCGGAATTGGCTGCGGCACGACGGGCAACGGCAACGGATGCGGAAGAATATGCGGTACCGGAACTGGAACGGCGGCTGGAACAATGATTAACTTTTTAACCATTTTTTTTTGTCATTCGCAAATTATATTAAACGGTGACCAATGAAATATTTTTTCGTATTTTTGTGCACGTTAGATGACACACATTTTTTAACAATTGAGCAATCAACTATTTTTTAACATTTGGGCAGTAAACGTGTCGAAACAAAATTTGTAATTATGTTCAACACTGACTTCAACCGTAAGTTATGTGTTTCGGTAGCCTAATCTTGTCATAGCCTAATCCTGTCACTTGATCATCGGGGGCCTATTATGCCCCATCGCAGTGTCGTAGGCTACTTTCAGCTATGGGGTTCCATGGAATAAAACGGAGAAGACCGGAATATTTGAAAGAAATTTACATTTTTTAAACTATCATCGAGAATAAAGGGGCCAGAAGTATTTCAAATCTGAAATTAGTACGCTATAAGTATTTGTTTAATTACATTAACACGGAAAAACCGATCCCAAATTCACGTCATACGCCTCTGAACAATGTTCCAGCACAATTCTTACAAATCAAAGGTACCTTTAAGAATTGTGCTGGAACATTGTTCAGAGGCGTATGACGTCAATTTGGGATCGGTTTTTCCGTGTTAATATAATTAAACAAATACTTATAGCGTACTAATTTCAGATTTAAAATACTTCTGGCCCTTTTATTCTTGATGATAGTTTAAAAAATGTAAATTTCTTTCAAATATTCCGGTCTTCTGCGTTTTATTCCATGGAACCCCATAGCTGAAAGTAGCCTACGACACTGCGGTGGGGCACAATAGGCCCCCGTTGATCAAGTACTAATGATTTAATAATTGAAGCAGCTATATATGTATCATACTAACGGGCTGGGTGCACTATGCCTGCTGGATGCGGCGGTGCAACCGCTTCCAAATGTTCAGCCACCGGCGGTAGACCATCCGGAACATGTGACTCGTAAACAGGCGCTGGTTCCGGTGCCCCGTATATCTGTTCAGGTTGCAGACCGTACCCTAAATTCACCAGGCCTCTTTTGTCGTGCTTTTTAACCGCGATCGGGCTCTCCTTGTCGCGCCTCTCGACCGTGATTGCTGCACTGACTACCAAAAGCAGTGACAAAATCTGCAAATACACGTGGAGATTTTTAAAATGGTAACCATTCCAACGAATATTCCACAGAATCAGTAATATTCTGAGAAACATAGATCCCCGAAACACACAGTTTCATACGTGGAAACATCGATACAATTTTCAACACGGTTTCACAGCGTCCTGTAACGGCAAACGGCGGCCATCTTGAATTCAAGATGGCCGCCACTGCTCGGCGCCGATTACGGTTAATAATTCTCTTTTCTCATATTTATAAATACTCGATTGCGCAAAAAAGGCACTATTTACCGAATCATGTCCGAATCAGGCACAATAAATGCTTGACGAAGTTACCAAAAATCAATCGGAGAATGAACCAAGACGATTTACATTTCGAATTGTTATCGAAATCACACGAATATTGTTATCGAAACCAATACATGAACGAAACAAACAATGTTCCAAAATCGAATTATTAAAAGAATTGCACAGCAGCACGGAAGAAACATCCTCGGAAAGCTTGACTTTTTTTACCACTTTCACTGGCAGAAAAACCGACCGATAAATTTTTCGGTTCACGATGGAAACGATCCCACCACTGGTTCGATCTCTATTTCGTGAAGCTACGAAATACGTTATACACTGTCGCGAACACAATACTACTATTATTATTAAAAAAAAAAATGGATCGAAAGAAATAGTTATACCAAAAGTGACTTCATGATCGCGTGCGGGGGAGGCTCCCGAGATCCTAGTGGTCAGGGACGGCGCCGAACGAAAACTGCGTTCGATCGGTACTAGTGACCCCTATTAAGTATTTATAGGCCACGAAACTTACGGATGACACACGGGGACACAACGGGAGGGACGTTATCGTTTTTGAATGGACTTTCGCCTTTCCTGCCAAACCTGGGTGACGGCCAATACGCACGGTCACGATCGGTTTTCATTCGCCCCGTGACAGGATCACCTATGTATTTCATAGACCGGAACGAATGTGCATACATAAAGGAGCGTATTCATTTATTACGTGTCCTGGTATCGGTAACACCGTTGCGTATCATCGTATGGTATCGTATATACATTATACATTGAAAACAAAAAAAATGGAACTCACCGCGTTGGTGGGTGTCACAAATGTATAAAAATCAAAGACTAGAGATAATAGTTATTTTAAATATTCTTTGGAAAAAAGTCATTGAGTAGTAAAAATAATTTTTATTTAAATGGAAACCAGATATTAATGAATCTTGAAGAAATTTTTCTTTACCAATAACAATTATCGATGACGGAATTTTTTTTTGGTTTTAGAGATAACCATTATTGGTTACGGCAATTATATTGTTTACGAATATCCATCATCAATGACGCAAATTGTTTTTGGTTGCACGTAACCATTATCGTTACCTGCAACCATTATTGATGAGAGGAATTTTTTTCGGTTACGCGGTAACCAATATCAATGACGAGAGTTTTGTTTTCGTTACTTTCGATTATGCTCAATTTTTATTAATGTCATTTGTATTAACGTATCTATCAGTGACACAAAATGCATTACAGAATTTATATATTTTAAATGAAAATATAGATACGTTAATAAAAATTGACGATGGTCGAAAGTAACCGAAACAAAACCCTCGTTATGGATATTGGTGACTGCGTAACCAAAAGAACATTCCCCAGATAGCACATGACGCCTTAAAGACGCCTATTTTACGGTTATTTTAGGTATAAGGCGTCTTTAAGCCGTCTTCAAGGCGTCATGTGCTATCTGGGTCCTGTCGTCAATAATGGTTATCGATAACCAAAATGAAATTCTCGTCATCGATAATGGTTACATGGAACCAAAAATAATTTCCATCATTGATAATGGTTATTAGTAACAAAAAAAAAATGTTAATTATTTATAATGGTTATTCGTAACCAAAATCATTCACACAAAGATATGAACCCTTATACCGCCACATTTTAAATAGTGATTATAACATTTAGAGTCTCTGATAAAAACAAAGAAATATACAGTGACTGCTTCCCTTGAGAAGAATTGCACGCAGAACAAAATCTAGATTGCCAGATACGAGAGTGGTACTGGCCGATTATTGTTACGAAGAAAGGGAAACTAGAATGGCAAGATAACTATGTACAGAAAATAGTATGAAAAATATATCTGCAATAATGTATAACAAAACTAAATTGCAATGGTTATAATATAGCTAATCACAAGAAGTGTAGTTTTACTTAAATATTTATTTTTTTTTTTATTCAGATTCTTCGAGAATATTCCATATTCCATAATCTACACGGCGCATGTAAGGTAATTAATAAAAAATATTGACAGTGATTCACAACGATGATGAACGATACGAGGATACGCAACAAGTGGATACGCACCTTTATACCGGGTGCAGCGGACAATAATATCACCCGTTCGACAATTACATGTCGCCCGTCGGCGTCTTCGAGATCGGAAACGGTGAAAATTATTGTCTACGTGATGATTCAAACCAATAAGATCGTTCGACGTTCGTGACACGCGTCGATAGAAGGCCTAGTTCTATGCGGCCGTTTCGATGGGTCTCGTTATACATTTTCCTCTTCTTTCACCGCCTTGGCGGAAGTATGACGAGAGTGGACTGAGGAATACTAATACATATCGTTTGCGTAAGCGAAATACGGGAATTTTTGTCGAAGTGACTACTCGGAAAATTTTGTTGCAACGATCCTCCATGTTTTACTGATTGCATTGTTCAATACCTAAACATTTTTGCACTTTTCAATAAGCGTTTCTGATAAACCTTTATGAGCTGAATACGAATCTGCAACCCGTTTTTTCCCAGCACGCGTAGTTTATGAAAAAATCAATTTAAAGAAGATTGCAAATTTTCAACTTTGGAACTGTGTTGTGCTTTTATAGTAATAGTTATGCAATTTCTTTTGACAGGAAATAATTCTCTGGACTCTTCCGAACAAAGTGATATAAATTATTATTATATTATAGACATCTAAATACGTTTAAATAATGTTTAAAGTGAAAAGGATACCGAATACCCACCACTTTTTGCTGATATTCTTTAATTTATTTTAAAAACTAAAAGTCTAGGAGAAAATCTAACATACGATAGAGCAGACTTTTCTGCGCAGGAAAGTGTCAAGGCAAGATACAAAATCTGTGTTGTTTTAAATAAGGAAGCGAAATAGTTCAGCAAAACACGCGGCGCCGACAGTGGTACTCAATGACAGATTTCAGGACCTTTAGTTTTTGAAATAAATTAAAGAATATCAGCGAAAAGTGGTGCCATTTCGGTGTCCTTTTCACTTTAAACATTATTTAAACGTATTTAGATGTCTATAATATAATAATAATATATATCATTTTGTTCGGAAGAGTGCAGAGAATTATTTTGTGTCAAAAGAAATTGCATGACTATCACTGTAAATGCCCAACACAGTTCCAAAGTTGAAAATTTGCAATTTTCTTTAAAATTGATTTTTTCAAAAACTGGACGTGCTGCAAAGAAACGGTTTGCAGATTCGTATTCAGTTCATGAAGATCTATCAAAAACGCTCATTCGAGGTTACAAAAACGAAAAAAACTTCAAATTTGTTGAACACTGTAATAGGCCTGAAAACACTTTAGCCTTCCTAAAAGAAATCAATTTTCTACATCGCATCTAGACTCAAAAGTATAAAAATAGCAGTAACGTATATGTAATCAAATATATGTAACGTAGTCCTAAGTCGCTAATGACCCACAAGAGGTTGATGCGACAATAAATAAACAAATTAAAAAAAAAAAAAAGAAAAACTGTTATAGGCCCAAAATTGGATATTCGTCGGCAAATGGTCATAACTTTTTCGACGTGGGCCCAGTTTTAGGAATTTGTCGGCAAAAAAAGTGACTACATATATCCCAACTAACTCCCAACTGTTGGATACCGTTGGTCAACCATAAATGCTCCTAGGTAGTCTAGGATGACGATAATTCGGTAGGTGGTACTTACCCAGGTAGCACATGACGCCTTGAAGACGGTTTGAAGGGGCTTTAGACCTAAAATAGGCGTAATATGGGCGTCTGCAAGGCGTCGTGTGCTATCTGGATAGTAAATGGGTCTTTTACTCTAGACCCTTATTCGAGGTTCCTATTCGATTCATTTCGACCACGTCGTTTTCAAGCTCTGACTCTCATAATTTCGTCGGTGTTACAGAGATCGTTCGGTACACATCACGTTCGACCCCGCGGTGTTATGGAATCGAACCGATCTCGCGGCGAGCAACGAATGAATAATGAATGCCGTGTGACGGTCTCGCGGCATTAGAAGTGGCTCGCGTACGTATTAGAAAATGAAAGTTAGGAAAGTTCGCGGATGCGACTGACGCGGAAACCGAGCGAAATGGTCTACGGGTGCAAGAAAAGTCGTCGCCGTGGGGGGCCGGTTTCGCGTGTACTGATCTCGTTAGACGACAACACAGGCCTCCAATCGTGACGCCCGGCGGACCCGATAGAATGCGACACGATCGAAATCCAGGGATCGTGATCGTGACACGAATCGGCGTCTAGACCCAGACTAGAGGTATCTGGGTCTGTGTTAATTGAAATTATTATACAAAGGGCAAAATATCTATTTACTGCCACCTACCGAATTACTGTCATCCTAGACTGTTTAATTTAAAATAACAAATAAACGTTATGAAGTTATTGGGAAAATTGGTGGAGGCGTGGCTTACAAGGGAAGTTCGGTGACCCGATAATTCCGATTTTTTTTTAAACATTGCTGGTTTGTAGGGGACTGCAAGAGAAGTATAGCGCAATTTTTGTTTTTAGCCCAATTTCAGTTCTTCAGGGTGTAAACATCCCTTGAAGGTAGGTAGGTGTTTCCATATTTCTCTGTATATCTTTAAAACTATCGTAGATATAAAGAAATGGTTATAAAAAAATTGAATGGTTTTTTATCCTCTATAAAACGATGTAATTAAATTGATAAAAATTCTTTGTTTAAATTAAAACATACCCCCCACTTTTATTATTTATCAATTCAATTACAAAATTTTTGCGCAATATTTAATATTGCATATAATTTTAAACATGACCAACAGCCTCTATTAACACTTTGATTGCCACGTCACCTAAATATGGGTGACACGTACAGTGAAAAGTGTCTGGATTATTTAAACACTGTTATAAAATGTTTGCATGAAATTAATATCCCAGTATAAACTCAAATATTTTCGACAATTTATGACTTAAAAAACGAAATAAAGTGTGTCTGGCTACGTACAGCCTTTTTCACTGTGGCAGTCGATGCGTTAATATTTTTGCCCCCCCCCTCCCCCCTTCGTTCCTGACTGATAAACTGGCTACGCCCATGCTTATATACCATTTACATAGTTAGAGGAAATTGATCTTTCGAAGTTTCAATAGAAGAAAATAGACTTCTTTATTTTAGAGACTAGAACACGTTATCCTTCGGTTTAGTATACACCTTCAAAACACTTTGTCGTGATCCGCGTCATACTTTTTCAACTATAACTATAAGTATTCCTATTGGAAGAACCGGAGAGGTCGGTAAATGCATAATTAAATCGAAAATGAAACACGAGCGAGCCCACCTCGCGACAAATCGAACCCCCTGTTGCGTATTTGTTCGATTAAACCACGAATAAAATAATACCACGAAAAAATTCAGGTGTTGGTTGATTGGATTCTGTGATCATTTTTAATGTGAACAAAATTAATTTCCGAAGGACACATGAATTTTGGAATATTTTATCATTGGTCCTTTAATGGGAATATCATCCTTACAAGAGCTCGTCGCTAGAAATAAATTGAACGTTAAGGTAACGATATCTGCAAGCATTAATTTTTGTTTGCAATATATATGATCCGTTCCAAGTGACTAACTCCACTTTTTGAATTTTTCAAATTCTAGTGTCAAAGCATTCGAATACTGCTTAACTTTTTATATTTAAAATAAATCTCTACTTATTACTTTTCTTTTTATTTAATCACTTTGGCAAATGAACGGCTCGTATAACAATCTAAAATAGGTTACTTCACTCGTAATAATAAATTTGTGGTAACGAAAACCTATACGTGATATTAAATAATATTTCATTTTTTTTTTTGTAACCCGCGACCAATTGCTGAAAAACACAGTTGTTTAATAAAGTATACTATCGATTACAAAATGGATTATGGAATTCTACAAGTTCAATTCGCTTCCGGTAAAGTTCTCGATACAAGAATTTCACCGAATAATTCATGAGACTTCGAGATATGATCGACATTGTTGCATAAAGAAATTCCCTTGGTAGGCGTCCGAGAACACGAACTTGTTGGAAACCGGTCACAACAGATGTATGAATATATGTATTTTCTTTGAGCTCGACCAATCGATGTATGACCTTTTCCCTGTTCTCCAACATGTGCATTATGTCTTTTATTATTCTGAAGACTATGACGATCCTTCGTTCTGAAATAAAAAATGGATGATCGACGTTAACAGACCACGAGTATCGTTTGAATAGCTACCAAATCGCGGGAGTATTCATTTACTAACATAACCTATTTTGCTTCGGATGATATTTACAATTAGGGGTATCGGAATGTGATATCATTTTTTTCTTAATAATCTCTCTTGCGAATCTTGAAATACATATAAAAGTATATAAAGTAGCCCCATCATTTTCAAAAACTCTTTGTCTAATCTTTCGACCTTTCGAAACCTTTTCGATTTTTTTAAAGGGGTGAGCATATTTATAGATTATGCATATCTATGGTGTAGAATACACGGGAGAAATATTATTTCTTAATCTCAAAGGTGAAAGGAGTAGTACTCGCTACAAAAATGCAAGAAGTGGCCTGTTAAGGACTAGCATAATCCCCATCGTTTTCGATAACCCTTTTCATAGGTTATGTTAGTCTATAAGAACCTTAAATTAAACTCACACGAAGTTAGCTTAGAAAGTTAAAAAGACATACCTACATCATAACTTTTTATTTTTAAGTTTAACTAACTCACTAACCGAACCACCCTGATAACAAGTTGTGTGCAAGTTTCGAGCAGATTGCCAGCAAATAATGACAAAATTTGTCTAAAAAACGATAGCCATCTCTATCCGCATTTGACTTGTGTCTTGCAGGCAAAATATAAAGCAAATGGGCAGCAAATTAGCAGCAAGTCTTGCAATACTAGACTATGTTGCAGGCCTTGCTGTTAATCTGCTGCTAATCTGCGTGCAAGTTGTTTATAGCAGATCTTGTATCAAATCTCTAACCCAGCTGAATACATAAAACTAGCAACAGGCATTGGACAAAATTTAGCTTTGCAGGTTTGACTAATTAGGCATTTAGATTTGAAAACGATGCATTTCTTTTTCAATGTTTCAGGAATTTCTAAGGAAATAACATATAATAAGATGTATATGTTGAATTTTTAATAAACAGTAAATCTGCATATACCAAACAATTTTATAAATTTCCCTCTTATTTAACAGGTCAAAGGTATGTAAGCCCTTAATTTATCAAACGTTGTGTAATTCCAATTTTTATATAATAATGTAATATTTCTTTTTGAATGAGTAGACACTTGGCAAACAATTATTTAATTTCACAAACTCTTTAAAAATCAGGATGACGATCTCAGATACTACTACTGTACACTAATCCTTCTACCTTCACAAAGAAACTCAAGTCACTTGGTCCAATTTTGAAAGAGTTGTTCTGTTTTAAGGGGTCTTTGAATACTTTTTTGACCCACTGTATGCACCATGTACGGCGGCGAGCACTGTGAACCAGATTCGTTCCCCGAGCACTTTCTTCACCGGAAACGTTAACCTGGCCAATTGACAAGGCCAAGTTCCTGGATCCAGTGCAAAGACGGGAACCTGACCTGGACCGACACTATCCCCCAGATTCTTCGTCGATCTGTCCGCCTATGGAATCGTAGATCGAACATATATAAAGCTACCGTTTTCACGATCCAACGAACACTTCCTCCACAAACGAGAGTGAACAATGTCCGTGATTCCGGTAAGAAACGCAGGAAAACCGTTCCACGCAACTGAAAAACAAAAATCGCCTCCTCTTGGTGAAGTGATTTACATATATACACATTCGTTGTGGGAATTTAAAAAAATTTTCTTTACACTCGTTTGTTTTAATTACCAGCAATTATCGTTACTTACGTAAAAACGTATAAATTATCATCTCACACATATTTTTGGATCTTCTGGGCATGAAAATTTCTTCTATTCCGCGTGCTTTTAATGTTAATGCTTTACTGAACGATTGCCCATTAACAGACTTTTAAATTTCAGCTTTATTAATTTACTCTTGCAAGGAAACAACCCCAACTGTCCGACTTCGATTTTAACGGGGCTTTGTAAGTATACAAATTCCTAATGATACATGTGAAATATTAGGTGTAAATACTCGGTAATTTTAAAGATATAAACAATTAAGGTTACGTTCCTTGTACTATGAATATCAGTCAAACTTATGGAAGTACAGTGGACTCTAACTATATTGCCATGATCGGGACTGCAGGGGAGTAAAATGGCAATGAGTTCAGCGCCCCCTCCATGCTAAGTTCTATCGTCATAGCCTTAGCCTCAGCGCCTGCGCAAAGGCTGGATCGTGCTGGTGCGCCGGCGTACGTAACGTGGTGGGAGAGCGAATTTGTGTGCTCGAAAGTACGAGTGAAGGGGAAGTGCCTCGCGTGGCAATATGTTTAGTGGCAATACAGTTAGTGTCCACTGTATAAGGTTGTTTGACTGATAAATCGTAGGTCCTGGGATCGACTACCGTTCACCGAAATATTTTTGTTTCACTTTGCTGACGTAATTTCGATAACTTTGACTTATATTCGGTATATCTTGAAGGTTCATAACTTTAATTATTTATATAATTAGAATTATCGAGTGTCTACACCTAATATTCCACACACATCATTAGGAACCTGTATACTTACAAAACTCCGTTAAAATCAAAGTCGGCCAGTTGGTGTCCTTCCCTTGTGAAATCAAGGTTAAACTAGGAATTGTTAATCTATTAATAATTTTACTACCTTAATAATAATTTTTACTACCGTGATACTGAACTGTTTAATAAGAGTTCCAAGGCTGTTGATCGTTAGATTTTCTAACCTTATTCAATAACATCCGATAGGTAATATTGTCAAAGAATAAATACACTTGAACGCGTGAGATGTATTCGGTATACAGGGTGGTTTAATATTAAAGGAAACATAAAATTTAATGATTACCGTAAATTTCGGGTGAATTTCAGATACATTTGATTTTAGCTGTTCCTGATAATTTTCGTCTGTTCCGCGCTCGCCGCGGAATCAAGCGAAACCAAGCCAAGTAAACGTGGTATACTCGATACCGGCGGATGGATCGGTATACCGAATCCCCATGGTTACGGGCACGGACTCCCGTGGGCGGCCGATCACGGCTGGAAAGGACTGAAGTATCCTGCTTTCGATCTGGCCCATGGAGGGTAACGTTAACGCAAATTTTCTTCACCTAACCCTTTCGTTCAACCTTTTCTTAAGGGGTTCCCCTAATGTGATGGATAAAAAAAAATTGGTTTTTTCTTTTTTACATTTTCTCACGGCTTAATATTTCGAAACCATAATCCCAAAAGGATTTCGCCCGATTCGAAATCATAGGGAAGTTGAAAGGGAATGACCTGAATAGAGTAATTTCACACAACAGACACCATTTTGAAAAACAAAGTTGACCTTCAAATCTGGTATACGCCTCCTCTTATAAAGGAGTTCTGTAAATCACATGATGTCCCCCTGGATACCGTGTAACATCTGTAGAAATAATGTTTAATTGACGAAAGTGTCAGGCATTGTTACGAATACAATAGAGACTTACAAAACTGTAATTTCTGTCAAATATTTCAAGAGAGTTTATTGATTAAAAATATGACAAATTGGGTTTTATTATGTATAATAACATTATAATGGCAATTAATAGACAGGGTGAGTCAATAAGAACTACTATCTAAAATAACTCGTTACATACCTAAGGATTATATCAGAAAACATTTTAGTGAATCATATAGCATTTTAAGGGATGCATAGGAAGGATACAATTTGATTTCATTATATCTTATTTTGTTTTAGATATCAAAGTCAATGCATCTTTTTTTAAGACTACGTTGTTGCCAATAGAAACACGAATTCGACGACCTATAGCATGATGGGATTAAAAAAAAAAGATGCATCGACCTTGATAAAATTCAAGGTCACCTAAAAGAAATAAGATATAATAAAATCAAATTGTATTCATCCGATGCGTCCCTTAAAATGTTACATAATTCATTAAAACATTATTTAATACTACTAACAGATATTGAGTTATTTTAGATAATACTTCTTATTGACTCACCCTATATGTAACTGTGATAAAAGTAAAAAAGTTATGAACTAATGAGACACGGCATTAGACGGTACAAAATGTGAAAATGTTCGTGCAAATAATTCATAAATTATGTAATATACATAAAAATACAACAAAATATTCGTTTAATAATTTTTAAATAATTTAGGAATGAAAGGGTTAGATTGCTACCCTGGAACGGAATAAAATCAACGATCGTAAAAAAATTAAAAGATGTAAATCGACTGATTTATAATTAATTCGATCAATAATGTTTGTGTTTGTTTAGATTGTACGGCGGTTTAGCGTATGGTAGAGCACCATCCATTCCTCTAAAGGCAGTTCCAGTGTACATAACGAAGCACGTGGTCGTGGAGAAGCCAGTTCCGGTCCCGGAGCCGGTTATCATCGAGAAACCGTACCACGTGCCGGTGGAGAAGGTGATCCATGTCCCGATCGAGAAAATCATTCATAAACCATTTCCGGTTCCGTATCCCGTACCCGAGGTAAGGGCATATTTCCTTTTCTTCCTAACGTTTTTTTCTCTTCTAATTCGATTTCTCGAACAAATATCGCGGTGGAAGTAATATAAATCACATGAACGAGTAACATAATATGTAATATCCGCGAGAATAAGAAGGTAAACGCATGAATGAACGAAATGACATAAGAGATTTTGTTCATCATTAAAATCGAATTTTAAATGATAATAATATTAATAAATATTTGGCGCATGAAAATTAGACATTTTAATATCTATACATTTTTATAGCTTTATAGATTTCAATTTAAAAAATTGGAAAAATGTAATTAATTAAATTAAAAAGAAAAAATATAGATTTTATCAGTGAATGAACGATATATTAGGTAAATGAACATTTCCAACCAGTAGAGCGAAAATTGTTTGAATATGAAACAAGGAATTGGAAAAAAAAAATCAATATTACTGTTTTAATAAAATGATACAATGTTTTTATTGTTGGCATGAGTATTGATAGCAATTTCATTGCTTCTTGTCTCGCGGATCACACGTAATGGATAAAAGATGCTAACCAAGCTAGACATTTGCCACTAAAATATGTCACGAATTATTAACTTTTTCACATAATACCATAATACTTTATTACACAGCATGTTTAGAAGAATCGATTTATGTAAAAAAAAAAAGTATTTTTATTTCATAGTCTTTCAATATCATTAATAACAGAACATAATTAACTTTGAGAACGCAGAAGATAAAACTTACGAAAAAACTGTTACTGCTAACTAATAGCCCTCTTCATGTTAAAAAACTTCTGTGCATACGTTTTTCTGATATTTCTAAAAATAACGGAGATAATTAACATAACCATAAAATGCGTATATCCAGCCCACCCTATATATAGCTGCGTCGCGCAACTGAACGGCCGAGTGGTGGGAAAAGAGCACGGGTAACTGCTCACCGATTCTCACACGGTTCCTACACGGTTCCTGGAAGTTTAGCCCTCTACAGCCCCGACTCGTGCGGGAATCGAATGTCTACTGTTCATCAAATCACAGACGAGGTATAGGAGCAGACATTTCATCCAATGTATTTTTGCGGCCCACATTTCTGGGGTTACGTATCCCTTTTCCATTTTAGTGTCACTACCCACCGCAGATTTACCGTTCTCAAAACGAAGAGTTCGCTAAAATCGTAGGCTTTTTAATGTGTCGGTTTAGGTGGGCCACCAACTCCCATAAAATGAAATGTCTACTCCTATACCTCGTCTGTGATCAAACGTTCTTGTATTCTACTAGGTTTCCTCTTTCTGTCTCTCTCTCTAGGCCGTCCCGATACCGATAGAACGGCCGGTGCCAATACCGGTGAAGCATCCTGTCGCAGTGCCTGTGCACCAACCCTATCCGGTTCCGGTGAAGCAGGCGTTCCCAGTACCAGTCCCGGTGCCCGTTCCGTTCCCAGTCCAACCACCTATCGCCCTCTATGGGCCGGGTCCGATAGCTGTCGGTGGTGTTTACGGTCGTGGAGGTTATGGCGGTGGTCACTTTTATCCGGCGGCCATTCACGGCGCACCGTTTCACGGACACCTGTTGCATGGTGGTATAGGCGGTGGTTTCGGCCACGGATATGGTCACGGATTCGGTCACGAGTTACACGGTCATGGATACGGTGGTCACGGATTCGGGCACGGTGGCCATGTACCGTACGCCCACGGTTACGGGTATCCCCACTTGTCGCACGTCCATGTCCACGATCATGGTCATGGTCACGGGCATGATCACAAAAAACGCAGCAAGGATTGACAGGTGAGAATCGACGGCCAGGGATTGTTCCAGCGATCCAGTGAATTAAGAACACAGTGAACAATATGAACTGAAAACCCGTTGCCTTGTGGTTAGACATTTATACAGGGTGTAACACAAATGTGGGAGGACCTGAAAGTGGGAGACTCGTGAGGTGATTTGGAACAAGTTTTTCCTTTACGAAAATGTTATCCGAAGCTTAGTTAACGAGATATTAACGAAAAACCCCGACCAATCAGAGCGCGAGTCTGCCGGCCGAGTTCCCGCGGTAACGTCGGCTTCCGATCACAGCGCGTGGCCAACGTTACCGCGGGAACTCGGCCGGCAAACTCACGCTCTGATTGGTCGGGGTTTTTCGTTAATATCTCGTTAACAAAGCCTCGGATAACATTTTTGCTAAGGAAAAACTTGTTCCAAATCATCTCACGAGTCTCTCATTTCCGAGTCGTCTAACATTTTTGTTACACCCTGTATACATGTAGTAAACGCCAAATAAGACTATAACTGTTTCGCGCATCTGGAATGAGCACGAGAGGTCTGTCGAACCCTCGATTCACCTCCTTTGGTGCTTTCTGTAACGTCGGCGATAGGATTTGTCATACACCGGGTGACATAATAAAGTATTTCTCAAGACATGAATACTTACGAAATGGCACGTTTATACTTCACAGACACTCGATGTATGATGCTACACGAGGCATAGTGATACTCAATTTTTAACTAACCGAAAGAAATATACGCAAACAAAACCGAAATTCGTCATTTCGCAGTTATGGTCTTATTTGGCGTCAAGTATAAAAACCATGTTTGTGTACGTAAACAGTAGCCGTTGCCTTGTGGTTAGACCGTACATTTTACGCATTTATATACATAAATACTATACCTCATCGAGGCGAGTCAGTGAATTATAAACAAAAGGATGTGTGATGTAGGGATGTTCGATTTCGATTTTGGAATGCAGAATAACGAAGTGGAGATGTAATCGTGGTGTATACCGTCAGAACCCAGACAGCACATGACGCTTTGAAGACGGCTTAAAGGCGCCTTAGACCTAAAACAGCCGTAAAATAGGCGTCTTTAAAGCATCATGTGCTATCTGGGAAAAGTGATTCTTCGCGAAGAAAAATAAATTGATGATCTGCAAAGAATTTTCTTTGCGAATCAGGCCTTTGTTTTTTTGAGGAATTAGTTTGAAAATTTTCATTGGGTACATGCACATTGTAGTTATTGTTGTACGAATACTCATGTGTCTCAGATAAATTTTTAATAGCGATTTTTTTGGAAAGTAAGTTTTGAACGGAAAGAATTTATTCTGCACTTCTTTTTACTTATTCTTTTACGAAGATTCAACAGACATCGGTTCATGTACAAGGGATAAATAATGAGTCACCTACGGGAAATACAGATGGATTGATCGTTTTATGCGGCTGGATTAGAAATTTCCACCCTGAACAATAATCGGTTGGAATTCAACGGGAATAAGGTTGGACACTTTTTAAGTTTTGTGTCGATCTGGATAATATGGATATGCTGTAATTGGTGCAATGTATGAGAATTGTAAAAGATAGTCTTGTAATATTATTCTAACAACTCATACGGACTTTCATAAGACAATCCAAATAGCACATGACGTCTTAAAGACAGCTTAAAGCCGCCTCAGACCTAAAATAGCCGTAAAATGGACGTCTTCCAGGCGTCATATGCTATCTGGGAACTGATATCTAATTTGAGAGATTGTATCGACATCTACCAGGCATAAATGCAATTACCATTGCAATTTTTAAGATACATTATTGAGGAATGAAAAATAAATCCTATTTTACCCAAATGTCAGATGGATAATTAGATAACATTGGAAATGTCAGTATCGAACACTGTTTCATAAGAATTCACAGTTGGTTGTAACAAGAATGCAAAAAATACCACAGAACTTAACAATCGTTTTTCTTGTATAATATATTCGATTGTGAAATGGTAACAAGTAATTTGGTAATAAGTAATAAGTAATAATAATAATAATTTGGTAAGGTAATAATAATAATAGACAGAGTCTCTTATTATTTACGAGATGTACATTATTTCTTTGCAACTTCGCTTTTAGAGTAAAGTCTGTGCCACGAAAGTGACGTATATCGTAAGACAACGGGTTAATTAATCAGACCTAAAATAGTCGTAAGATGGGCGTCTTCAAGGCGTCATGTGCTATCTGGATTCCTTGAGTTTTTGATGGAATGAATAAGGATTAATACTTTATGATTAAAAATCGACAGTAACGAATCGTTTTTATCATATCATTTTAATCGTTCGAATGACACATTTACTGTGTCTGTCGTGTGTAAAAAGGACGCTTTTAATTTTCTAGTAATACCATTAACGATAATTCGGTAACGTTAACACTGAAACTGTAACAGCAACAATAATTAATTCTTAATTAAGAAAAATACTTTGTAACCGATTGATTGTTAAACCTAGAAGTAGTCCAAGTGCAAAGAGTTAACGAACCGTGTTTGGTTGATAGTGAAAGTACGGTTGACAACTGTTGTTGTGTACAGTAGACTCGCGTTAAAGTACCGGTGCAGGGCTCTCGAGGCGGGTTTTTCCTGGAAATACTACTTCAACGTGAGCCAATGGGCACGCAGGATCATGTGGCCGTTCGGTCGATCCACCAATTGGATCAGAACTTTGGTTACAGATGGCGACCAATAGTGGGCTGCGCACACGTGTATAATGCGTGTGAGTTGGGGCGTTCCTACCGCTACTTTAACGTGAGTCTACTGTATTTATGAGTAACCTCTACATATGTTAAGTTTTACGTGTACCATAATTTTGTTTGAAAATGTTAAATATATACACATGTTTGACATGTAAAATAGGATGTTAAAACCTGACCCTGTATATTTTGAACTGTCATTTTATAAAGTACAACAGCACGTATAAAACCCAGATAACACATGACGCTCAATGACGCCTTGAAGACGGTTTACAGACGCCTTAGACATAAAATAGCCGTAAAATGAGCGTCTTCAAGGCGTCATGTGCTATTTGGGAATACATATACGTACGAGGAATAAGCACTAACGAGGTATAGGAGTAGACCCAACATCCAATGTATTTCTGCAGCCCTCTTTTCTGGAGCGTCGACGCCCCATTACCATTTTAGTGTCACTACCCACCGTTTTTATAACGTGGATTCACGTTTCTCATAACGCAGAGGTCACTAAAATCACAGACCTTTTAAAGTGCTGGTACTACAGGTTAGGTAGGCTGCCAAGTCCCGAAAAGTGACAAGTCTACACCGAAAAATAGTTAGCGCCGAATATTAGCGTTTCTTAACAATTTATATCGTAAAAAATTACTCCCAATTTGCTCCCTCGGAATCTAAAATTGCTCCCATCGCACCGTTTATGTTTAATAAGATATTCTTATATCGTAAATGAAGAAGCAAAAATTTGTTGTTTGCAAAATATGTAGTAGTATGTACATGCTCTTTTTACACAAATATTATGGTACCAAAAAATTGCTCCTGATCTGTTTTATAATAATTAATAGTCAGATATCTCAATAACAACTTATTAACGAGGAGCAATTGAAATAATATTGTTGCACACAGATTAGGTACACATCATACGGTGGGCATTCGTTTATTGTAGCCTTCGGGGCTGTCGAAAGTCAGAATTCCATTTTTGCTAAGGAAAAAGTGGTTTCAAATCATTCCAACAACCCCACATTTCCTGGAAGAGAGACATTTTTGAGACACCCTGTATATGTCTATGACACATACATCCGATTTCATTCTTTGCCGGTATTGTCGGGTAATGATACCGACTAGGTATAGGATAGACCTATCATCTTATGGGACTTCGTGTCTCATGTTCTGAAATACCGATAGTGTAAAAAGTCAGGGATTTTCTGCTGCCCTCTGCATTATGAGAACGGTGAATTTGTGAACTACGTTAAACCATTCGAGGTCAACTATCTAACTTTTGCAGTGTTGTCGAGTCTAAAGTACGTAATGTTGTCAGAACATGAGTGTTCGGTACGTCGGAAAATCATCGATGGGACATTGCATGTTAGGTCTATTCTTATATCTTGTCTGTGGTAATGATACTAAAGTGGTACATACTGGGGTCCACAGCCCTCACAAAATCTAGTCACGAAAAAGTACAATAGACGCTCGATTATTTCCAGTTCGTTAATTGAACACTGGGAACTGAACAGCTCTCGCTCTCCACGCATCTTTCTCATCTGTGGTCTCATAATTCGAGAATGTAGCATATTTCAGAGACTGTATTGTAGAAGTTTGGCTAGTGGAGCTTGAGAAAGGTTGAATGGAATATAGAATTCACGAATTCACGCTTCTTCCAATCGAATTTTGACTGTCAGAGGCGCATGCGTTACAGAGAAAATAATTCTTGCCACTATTTGCACAGTATCTTATGGCAGAATTGGCAAACATTATTCAAGTTTGGTGTTTTACACGTTCTAACTGTGAATAACACTATTGCATTGGTTCTTTACATACTTAGTATATCGTAGATAGAGAAACATATGGTTTCTCGTGGTGATAAGCTCTTAAATTGAGGCATAAAGAACGTTTTTTTGTACTGTTTATTAGACGTATATAATCTATAATTTATATTTATAACATTGGTTTAACAATGAAATATGTCAAATGTATTCAGCTGTTCATTAGCCATCATTGCGTCGTTGCCATGGCTACTAAACTGTACTAAACATACGCGAACTCTGTGACAACTACGGTGTTTATCGTGACATGACATGATATTAAGGATAATCTTTTATATATTAAAATAAACTAATCTAACAGAATCCTTAATTGACTTAATTGAAAATAACTAGGTATTGAAACAATGTCGGTGGACCACAATGAAAAATATATTTTTGAGGCTGAGTGGTACGATAAAATAGCCAGTATCCTAAAGAAATTCTATTTATACTATTATTCATATGACAATACTGTAGAGTTGGTACGTACTTTCTGGATTAATGATTTTAATAATTTAGAATACGAAATTTTATTTCATTCTACATTTCAGTTTGATATAAAAGCACGAAAAACATTTCTAAGGAGAACAAAATGCGAGGGCATACAGGCGGAAGATTTTTACGTGGGTGCTGTTGTAACAATATTTTCGCGAAATATAAAAATAACGGATTATGCGGATTGCACCACCCGAACGAAATTGCAAACAAAAATGCAAAAGTATGTGCTTTATGTATTAACAAAGGTATATTCTTTTTTTGCACTTAACGAAATATAATTTTTTGTAGAACATTCGCAATCGTGAAATCAGATGCCATTGACAGTTTAGGAGAAATATTGAAACGAATAGTCTCCTGTAATTTTCACATTGCAAATATAAAAATGGTCAAATTGAGTCAAGAGGAGGCCGCAAATTTCTGTCAACAGAGAGAAAGCACAGACATAGCGTAATATATAAATTCATTGTTGAATATACTTTTAATTTTTAAGTACAAAATCTATCATCTGTGTTTTTTAATCAGGTACATTGTAAATTATCTCATCTCCGGTCCCATTGTAGCTTTAGAATTATTGGGTGATCATGCAATTAGTCGTTGGCTTGAACTGATTGGACCAGAAGATAGCGAACAAGCTCGTTCTGAAGCTCCAAATTCGCTGAGAGCTTGTTTTGGTAAAGATGGTATTTACAATGCGTTGCATGGCTCCCTGAATGAAGAAGCTGCAATAAAAGTTTGTATTGTTTTTCATTATAACCTTACAGATATACAAGTATTATGTTCCTTTCTACTTTCTAGGAACTACAATTGTTCTTCCCCGATTCAAAAAGCAAGGACAAGGGACCAGCAAATACAGCTACTTTGAAGGATTGCACCTGCTGCATCATTAAGCCACATGCTGTTCAAGCTAAACTAACTGGTGTGTAGTATACCTTTCATTAAAATACATTTCAAGGACGTATTCAATTATTCTTTATTTTTATTAATGTCATAGGGAACATTATTGACGACATTCTGAAAGCTGGTTACACTATTTCTGCCATACAGCAATTTAATGTTAATCCGTTTGATGCAGAAGAATTTCTAGAAGTATACAAGGGTGTTCTCCCTGATTATGGGGTGTGTTTATATACAAAAAAAGGAACTCATTAAATGTTACCATTCCAGAAGAATTGCTAATAAATTTCATTTCAGGCCATGGTAGGAGAGTTGCAGTCAGGACCATGCATTGTTATGGAATTAAAACACAATGATCAGAACTTTGATGTACAGGGAGAATTCAGAAAATGGTGTGGCCCCATGGACCCTGTAAGTATGTTTATTTTTCATTTTCATTTGCGATACCAACAGTAGTATTTCCTACAGGACATTGCACGTCAAGTAAGACCAGACACACTTCGAGCTAAGTATGGGAAAACAAAAGTACAGAATGCTATACATTGCTCTGATTTACCAGAAGATGGAAGTTTAGAGGTGATGAATTTTCTTTTTGTGTACATTGTTTGGTAAAACACTACTTAAATAAGTTAATTAAATTCGTACAGGTGGAATACTTCTTCAAGATCCTTGATAGCAGTTAGACACTAAAGAAACATTAAGAGTTTACCAGGAGTTGCCTTATATAAAGAAAATATAATTATAAATCGTATAAATTTTAGAACAAGCTATTTATAGCGACACGAGATATAAATGTTATTTCCACTCCTTTTTTATAATAAAGAACCGTTTCAGTAATTGCCTTCTTTTAATCGCTAATTGAAACAAGAGTAAACTCCCTGCCATTACTTATCTTACAATTGCTTTTTAATCACTACGAAAGTTTCTTGACTTGTTTAGATCGTTAAGGGGTCGATCACGCGTTTTAATAATTTTTCTTTATCGTATGTTTTGCCTCGTACTATTTATAATTTTATCCGCAAAGAAATAAAAATTTTGCGAATAAATTGATTTACTCCATGACTCTCTCCGATTCAGTAATGATTATAGAGAGCTAAAATTTTTTCTTAATACATTAAACTCTGGATTGTGTAACTAAACATTAGATACACCTCAACGTGGATGCAATTAAACGAAATCTTTTCGTTCGAGAATGTAATAATGAAATTGTTGCATAACTTATGCTTTAAAATTAAGTATTCGGCGAGTACAGTAAATTGCATTCAACTTTTAAGAAAGTTATGTTGAACTTTATGGATGAATGAGACCTTCTCAGTTTATTATATCTTGCGATTGTTAAACAACACAATAGTTTCAAAAAATCATATTACAGTTAGAACAAAATTAATTGGTCGCTTTAGATTACTATCTGCATATTTAATAGTACTATTTTTAATTTTAATATAACAGTAAAATTCTGTATCAGTTGCAAATACACAATTTCACCTTGGTAGTAAAGTGATTCATAAAATCAAAACAAAAATATGTATTCACCGAATTTAAAAGTTGAAAAATGCCAAGGTTGGAATTTTTTAAATTCTTAAAAGTGAAAAATGATGACAGACACGGGGAAAGTATTGAAATTAAAATAGCTGAGGGGTAGATAAATGGGTGATAGATAAACAAGATAGCAGATACATATAGCTCCTCGAGTCACTTTAAGAGTAGAATTCATTTTATTCAGACCATAAGGTTACCTTGTCCCACTATTATAAGTAAATGGCGACAAATGCGTTGTTACTGTTCTAGAAGAATCAAAAGAATGTCCGAGTAGTCGATAAGATAACACGTTGCAACTTATTTTTCTCAGAGAAAGGGGAGGCTCCACTGATACGAGAATTTATCTTGTTTGGGAGAAAACAAATGATGCTAATGACTGTCGATGACTAAAGTTAAATTCACAAGATTGGATCTCTTCAAATTACTTCACAGATAACACAAATGACAAATAATAGAATTTTCGCAAATACATTTCCATTTAAAAATTGTAAAAATTTATAACCTAAGGAAGATGTCATAAATAAAATCGCATGTAGGAAAATGTTATGTTTACAATATATCAGCTTTCTTTGATCGACAATGTAATTTTATGACTATGATTAATTATATTCTCTCAATAAATAATATAGAATTGTTTACGTTTTTATTGCTTCAACTATTTTGAAGAAATATATTGTTTTCATTGACAGAAAATTATTTAATTAATAGAAAAAACGGAAAAATGGTTTATACCTACTTCATTTGTTTGTAAAGTGGCAGTCACTATTAATTAATCCTTAACCCAGATAGCACATGACGTATTAAAGGCGTCTATTTTACGGCTATTTTAGGTCTAAGGCGTTTTTAAGCCGTCTTCAAGGCGTCTTGTGCTCTCTGGGAATATTAATAAAATATTAAAAGTCACAATTTTAAACAGGTATGTAGATTAAAGAATCTACAAAAATTACAAACGTTCGTAAAATCTGTTTCTTCTCTAAAAAATCCCTTTGCCCTTTCTCGATTTGCAAGTATTTATCTCACAACAAAAAGAAAGCTGAAATACATTATATCACAGCGGATATGTAAAAAAATGTGTCATCACTTTTACCATATCCATTATGACAATGAATAAAGAAAAATCAAGGTAAAGATAACGCTTCGTTCTCAACCCCAACAAGCTGTTGTTTGCTCGATTGTTCCAGAAAAAAAGACGGGGCAGGGGAAGAGAAGATACACGCGAGTTTGTTTCAGCCAGTTAGGCCATCGGCGATAAAGAAAGCCGTAAACCAGTCTCGTATATCAAACCTTCTGCGATCGATGGGGCCATTAATGGGAATCCATTCATTTCGAATCCGCTACGCGTTGTGCTTATCCTGTCTTAATAACGGCATATAATGATGTGTGTCAAGGATTCGCGGTGGCCTGTTGCGACGTAAAGTCGCCAAGATGCGCCTGCTTGTGGACGACCAGGCAAGAAGACACTTTCATTTCTAATGGTTCCTCGGAATCCCTTAACCCTTTCGTGATCGAATTACAGGTAACCCCTGTATAACACCCTAGATAGGACATGACGAGCAATGACGGCTTGAAGACGGCTTAAATGCGCCTTGGATCTAAAATGGCCGTAAAATGGGCGTCTTCAAGGCGTCGTGTGATATCTGGGACGGTACTTCTATAATACGGTCCTAGAATTAGGGAAAACCCTCGTACAACATGGAATCCTAGAACAGGGTTTCACTCTGACACGGTTTGAGAATTAGAGAAATCCCCGAACAACACTTCACAAGTGTTTAGCACAATGTAAAAGAATTTATAAAGCTCTCTCGGCTAAAAGCAAGCAATCTAAAGTAACGCAAAAAGCAATCTAAGATTTTTTTGCATACAGTGGAGTATAGAACTGAACATACCCAGATAGCACATGACGCCTTGAAGACGTCCATTTTACGGCTATTTTAGGTTTAAAGTCATGGCATTAAGTCATGTGCTATCTGGGTATATAATGTTGAAGGAAGTTCGGAGGATGAGGATATCTTGTAAAAAAGAAAACGTCCTGAGTTAATAGTGCTTGTAGTAGTGATGACGAAGAAATCATTATTTAATACATATTAATATTTAGTACTTTCGATGAAAATTGCTTTATTAAAAATATTTCTCTTAATTGTAAGAATATAAAAGTTTTAATTTTTGGATTCTAACCCTCTTTTTTATAGTACTTCTTTGTTTCGTATAACATGGCACTTTTTAGGAACCTTAATCCTTTACAGGACCTAATGCATCCTAATGAGCAATTTAATACCTTATACTTGATCAGTTTATAAATATTTCTCACAATAAATATTCGTCACAATAAACTCACAAAAACTTTTGGTAGCATTTATTTGTATCCATAGGGATAAAAGTTAATACAATTGTCCATGTCGGATTGGAATTTGAAGTATTGGAAGTGGATTAAATTTTTTTCAAGAATTGAAACGTTAACTAATTGTTTAAAATTTCGCAAAGAATTCTATTGTACCTACTGATTTTGGAAACGCGAAGGTTTTTTCGGAGAACTTATGGAAGGCTCTGACCATAAGTTTTAAGAGTTGCTTTCCTTGAAAAGATGAAACGTTTGTTTTTTCAAGATTTATATTTAAATGGCTTGAAAGTAATTTTTGTTTGGAGCATTGTTTAATTCTGGATTGAGATTTTTGTATCGCAGTTTGGTCATCAATTGTCACGCTAGAGTATGTAGATCCATTGATAATCGAAAGTGTTTAAGGAAACTGTGCAAAACTGAAAGAAAACCAAAAGAAAGTAAGCCACAAATTTTGGAAGTAAGATTTTAATTTTACAAAGCTGTAAAATTTCTCAGAAAGATGGACACCATTTGATAGATTTTTTTAAAAGGATTTCAGAGTCGTAAATAAGAATAGGTAATTTAAGAGTCGTAACATAAAGGAGACAAAAGGGAAAATGTAAATTCTAGGGTATCTAAGCAACTCTCACTTTAGAAGGTTCTAGATCATAAAATTTGTTTCCTTCGATCATTATGAAAAGAGAACGTGCGATCCATCCGAGGTATTCTTGAGCAAAAAAGTCACCTTGTGTTTAAAATTTTCGTATTATTTTCACGATCTTCCGTGTCATAAGAATCATTTTTAATAGTGTTTGCGTCTTCGAAGATAAATTCGTCGCTTGAAGGACTCCGGTTTCTTCTTTTTCTTCTTACCATTCGTTAAACTGTATTTATCATGTGTTGGGTTTCTTCTCAAGAGTTCATTCTTGAGAATTTGTGAAATTTTTTGAGAAATATCGTATAAAATTTGTAAAGTATAAAATAGAAGATTAGAGAAAATTTTGATTGTAGACATCAACAGTGTCGGTATTACAATAGTGACGGAATACAAATTTTAACTGTTACATTTTTCAATATATTTTCATGAAAATGTTACGAACAAGTGAGGAGATTCTCCCGATGAAAATGAGTCTAAACACGACGTAATTCGGACTATTTTTAATAATTAGTGTTGCTACATAACGTATGAATAAAAATTGTTATTACTGCATTTCCCCTATTCAGAAACATGCTAAAATTCTGAAAAAAAAATAGCACACATTGTAGATACCAAGACAAGCGTTACAGTTTTCTCTAATCTTTCGGTTCAAGATTTTATTTGGAAAAAATTAAAAACCCTTAAAACATACTGAGAACACTTATAATTTTTTTAAGTACCTCACCAAAAATCTGAAAAATTTCAAGGACAATACTTATGGTAACATATGTTGCTAATATATAAATAAAAATCTATTCGCTGCAAAATTTCAATATGAAATTCGCATTTTCAGCATTTTAGAGGCTTCCTAATGTTTCCCAATTAGGATTTTCAACTTAAAAATGTTTTGACCAGTGCTGATTTAAATATCCACTTGCAACAAAATTGAATTGAACTTAAGGATATATACTAATATGAATAAATTTCTTTTCTCGAAAAGTGAAAAGTATCGAGAAATCAGAAACACTAATAATGTGATATCCGTTGATATAGAAGACAGAATCGATTCCGTTCCAAGATCTTTGAACCAAGACAGAAGTGTCCACTATTGTAACAGGATACCAAGGAATAAAAATATCCGACCACAAACAACTTCTAATATTTCACTCTTTATTCGCATGCCTGGGAAACCAGAATCGAAACTATAAACAATCTAT